CCTTTCTGGACATATGACGTTTAGTATGGAGCAAAGGCAGTCGATGAAAATCTGTATTAGCGTATAGGCGCGTACTCACTATATACAAGCATAGACTATACATTGATGTTGAAAATTTGGATGCTGTTTATTGTGATGAGTGTGGGAGAATTACACACTGATTTCTGACCAATGAATGTTTGTCTTGCTTTGCCGATCATTCCGTGCTGCCAGTAATTGAAATGATGCTGCCTAGGTAAGTGAATGAGATGAATTTCTTTAGACCTCTCCCAGTGATGGTGATCAGTGATTGTAGGTGGTGGTTAGGTATCTTTATGTGCACTTGAAATCCTTTCTTCGCTTTTTCTGTTACCAGATTGTTGGTTTCACCTGTAGGAGTTTCTGTGATATCAGATAAAAATCAACCGCAAAGTACAGGTCTTCTAAAGTCATTTTGTCGGTCCAACGTATTCTTGTCTTCTCGCTATCCAAGGTCTGTTGCATCACCACAATCAGGAATATCATCGGTGACAGTAGACAGTCTTGTCTTAATTGTCTCTCCACTTCAAACTCTTCACTGATCTTTCCACTGTGAATTGCTTGGTGTGTGGCATAATCACAGTTTAATATAAGCTTAAAATTGAAGATGAATGGTCACCGACTAAATGCATATAGCACTAGTCAATATTTTTACTGTCTAAATGCAACTTTGGTATAACTCGTAAACATGTAATTTTCCTCTAGTGGGTCCGAAGTCGAAAACATTAATTACATCACCAGCTCTTCTTGCTGGGCAGTTCCATAGCCTTATGATGTATATGCGTTTATGAAGCTACATCGAATGAGATGGCTAAGACACGTGTCGCACATGCCTAGCCATCGCTATCCTCAAGAGCAATGTTAACTGACATAGGACTAGATTGGAAAAGGGTTAAGGGTGGTTAAACCAAAACCTGAAATCAGTCTACAAAGCCTTTGACAGTTAGTATGGGCCACCCTGGCGAGATATAGACTGACTGGTTGAGGTCCTCAGGATGTTAATAACCAATGGCTAGAAACTATTGGTGATAGGGCTAAAAATCGTTCTCAATGGCTGGCGCAGATGCATTCATTCTTGATAATCTCCCAGGTCCAATAAATCCTCATGTTTTCCCGTGTTACTATTCTTTCTCCCACACTTTGCTACTTAAAATAGTCCTCTTGAATCTCTCTTTTCTCTACCTTTGTGTGGCATAGGTAGTATGGCAACTTGAACTGGTACAGTTCTGTGCAAATTACCATGTTGAGACTCAGTCATTCAGTACACAACGGCTCACATATGTTGTGATACAAATGTTTTGTTTTCTAAAACCTTTAAGGGATATCATACTAAATTTGAAAAACAAAGCATTTTACAAGAAAGTACCTTTCAGGACTCCAGTATCGTGAGAATGGTAACTTAGCATCTATTCCCTGCCATTCAACGTGCTCGATAACTTCACTTGTAAATGTAGCACCAGGTGATAAAGGATTTTCACACAGAACTGAAATTACACCTAAACACCTTGATGGTACACGGCGTCTGGAGATGGAAGTGCTACCGCCATCCCGTTGGTTGCTTGGGAAATTCGACTGAGATGATTCAACTTCTACTGAAATAAAAATTTAAAAAAAAATAAAACGACCGAAATTCAGTGACATTTTTCTGGAATATTATACACTGTGAATGAATTAAAGGATCGGAAATTACAATGCACAGTTGGTAAAATGAAAAATGTGAAATCTGATTTTGATCACCAGGTGGGACACTTTAACCAAGTACCGCCCTTAGTGTGAAGGGAGACTATTTATTCATTTAAATATTATGCTTCATGGGTGAATTGAAGCAAAACGTTTCTCAAGGAATTACACACAAAAACATTTACTCAAAGGCCAAACACTCTAGCCAGTTAAAAAAGAACTGTGATATGAACTGTATTGTGGTCACAATGGCATCCCCTTCAACTCTAAATCTAAGAATAGAAAATAGTTGTCAAAAGACACGACAATTATTCTTTCAAGTAGACAAGTATGGACATTAATGTGACTGGGAAAATGTCGAGATTTTCAACAGCAGAAACACTCGAAATGCCAGGGAATTCCTTGAAATCTAGTACTCAGACGAATCAGTGATCAACACAGACACAATTATTATAAATCAAATTTATCAACTAATAAACAATGAGCCACATGATAAAAGCGTCAAACTCCAAGTCGATAATAACGATAGATACCAATGCAAATTAACAACTAATCACAACAAAGTTGTCAGGAGACAGCATTATATCATTCATGGAGAATTCAAATAGGTTCACTTCATATTATTGACATTTGCACTGAAGAGGTTGTCTATAAAGATAATGAAAGCTTGGCAATTAAACCACCCAGCTCAGAAACTAAAACTACACCGAAATTGACCACTTGAACTACAAATATCTATTATTTCAAAAATAAACATCGTTCGACTATAGCTATTAGTAAGAATTTTCATTTGATGCTCAAGGCAAAACCACCAAAGTTTTTCTACACCTATACACAACGAAAAAATAGCACCACTCGTCTATAGGGACATGCCTACAATACACTGTCTATAAAATAGATTACGTCGATTAAAACTAGTACGATCAACAATGATAGAATCACTTCTCTTCCTAGAAAAATTCCGTGATGCACTTGATTGATTGGTTAGAACTCAGTTAGCCGGTGCCAGCCTATGAGGCACACTTTTTATTTAGGAGGGTTGATGATACCATCCAGTTGCTAGAGCCAATGAGCCACAAATCCCCTTAAATGTGAAGCAATTCAAAGGGCTGTAAAGTTCGTGGTATTCAATTCGTTATCTGATTTGCAAAGTGTTTACTGAATATTGCCCTGGTTTTACGATTGAGAAATCGATAAACATACTTGAAAAGAAAAGTGGCTGTTTTTGGTAAGTATAAGACTACAAAGTCGAATTTTTTTATTCAGGTGAAATGTTTCATGTTTTTAGGTGCATAAGTAAAAGTCTAAATTACTGAATCTTACTGTGAAATAATGATTCCTTCTACTTTCGATATTAATAACAATACTTCCACCTCAAAATAAATAAGGTTGTTTGTTTTGAATTTATTGTGAATACAAGAAAATAGTTGTTTTTTTAAACTTACAGCGACGTCTCATCAAGGAGTCATCCATATAATCATTGATATCTAAAATACAAGAAAATTAAGGAAAGACGTGAACATAACCAAAGCGGTGTACAGTACAGGTGTCAAAACAACGGCTTCAAATAATGACATAAATAAATAAATAAAGGAAAGGAGGGTGAGATAGCTGAGTATTCATTTTCGTAGGCAAACTGAAATCTTATCCGAATTCCGCTCTACTTTTCAGCAATCAACGACATTCAGAAGCTATAGTCCCATGAAGCACCAAACCATTAGATAGGTCAACCACGGAAGTCATACACTTTCATCATCTAAGTTGTGCGTAATATAGGTTGATGAGTACGTCAATGCCTGAATTACCGTTTTATCTTTGCTTAAATTAGACTAAACTGAAAGAAAGCAAAAAGTAATCAAACTTCGCAATAAATGTGTGAGGTCAAAACTGAATGGATGCGGAAAAGCTACAGAGAATACAACTGGCCGACAGTTGCAACCATCCGACTCCACCTTGAACAAAACGTCAGCGTCAATTCACTAAATGTGGCAGTGGTCACGAAAACTGCCTCCAACTAACCTGAAGTTGCATCATGAATTCAAAAGGATCATTTCACATTTCCCAACCAGTTTCATCTTTGACTGAGGAGTGACATCCAGCTAACTACTAAATGCTGTGTATGCAGTAGGCAACAGTTGTCTCTGAACTTCTTTAAGGCTGTGAGATTTGAACACTAAAAGAAGCAGGTATGAGGGAGTTTGTGGCCACAGATGCATTTATCGCTACGTGACAAGTAATCAAGAGGTTGTGAATCTTAATTCATTGCAGTTGCTTGGATATGTGCTACTTACATT